GCGGTGCGCCTATATAATACTAAGCATGAGACACACGGACGGACGAACGAACGAACGCGGGTGTTGGTAAACATTGCGGAACAAACGACGCGTATTATAGAGCTCGAACTGAAATACAAAAAAATAAAGGAGGAAAATAAAAATAAGTGCCCCGCGTGTGTGCGATAGGATATGGCGCGTACACGCGCGCGCGCGAAAAAGCGATAAAACATATTATGTTGTACGTCGCACGGGTGACTCGGAGGGGTTGGTATGTATAAATGTAATTGAAATAAATTCGAAATGAATTTATACATACGTACGTAAGGTAACTTGAATATGGTGGGGAAATTCATATAAATTCAAGGCGATGATTGGATAATAATACGGCTATGTAAAAGCGATAATTTGTACGATATATTATTATTAATATATATGTAGCGCGCAACAGCAGTCGGATACGGCCGCGAGCACCCGCGTAAATAGCCGGGCCGACTGCACGTAAGTGTTTATAAGCACTTATTGTGGGAATCCTTCACGAGGTAACATATTTAATCTAGAAAAACGACAGCTGATGTTTGGGTAGATTTGCTAGTAACCGATGGCCCTCTAGTATCTAATGGCACTAAGCTTTCATTCAAATAAATCAGAATACGCTAATTTTCATTGAAACAATTATAATTTTGATAAATTAGCAAACTAAAGTGAAAATTTTTTTATTCGAATACAAAATACTCAAAATTCTACTTAAAATGTATTTTAAAAATCAATAAGTGCCTGTTTAATTTCAAAACCAAAAGGTGGAACTTTGAAAACATTCAACAAAAAATTTAAACAATTTTCACAACGTTTCAATAGAATTGAAATTTCATTCATCGACCTAAATGTAGGTAAGTATAAATAGCCACGAAAAATAAACTTAATTTTGAATATACCTTCTAGTAACCGATCGTCCAAAGTTATCTCTCGATTAAATCAGAGTATACCAATTTTTGAATGAATACGAAAATATTTCGCAGTCGTAATTGAATAATAAAAGACGATGAATTGCGAGAAAAGTATACGTATCAGGCCAGAAGTTTAAGGGATCGTACGAAAAACAACCATGAAAGACCCTGGTAAAAATTCTCAACATTTTGTAATTATATTTTGGCCAACGAAAAAGTTTCTTAGACATAACTTGGCAGCTTTTAACAATCTCGATAACTTTTTGACTTTTAGCAACTTTGATTTATACAATTAGTTTTACTTTGACACTTGCAGTTTTACAGATAATGGTATTCGCCATCTAGTGGTGCAGGCTCAGAGTAATATTATCGTATTTCAAGTGCTTCAAAACTGTTTGAAAAGAGCAATTTAACATTCTGCAAAGATTGAAACACGACCAGGTTGAATCCTGTATATTGCTTCACGAGGTAAAATACTTAATCTGGAAAAACCACAACTAATGTTTGGGTAGATCTGCTAGTAACCGATCGCCCTCTAGTATCTAATGGCTCTAAGCTTTCATTCAAATAAATCAGAATACACTAATTTTCATTGAAGCAATTACAATTTTGATAAATGAGCAAACTAAAGTGAACAAATTTTTATTCGAATACAAAATACTCAAAATTCTATTTAACACGTATTTTAAAACTCAATAAGTGCCTGTTTAATTTCAAAACTAAAAAGTGGAACTTTGAAAACATTCAACAAAAAATTTAAACGTGAACATATTATCAAATTCAATTTAAAAAAATTAAAAGTGCAGTAATGCAAAAAAGTCTGGAAAAACGAAATTTTATTTAAAAAGTGCCTGTTAAATTGATAATCTAGTATCTACTGCATATAGGTCGAAATGGTAACGCGAACTACCCCAAGAAGTTTCACTCGAAAAAAATACACTTGCCAGCTATTTTCATTCTGCCAAAAAAATCAAGATTTCAAAGATTTCTGCATGTCAAATTCGTTAAAAATGTTTCACATACGATAAACGATCGGGCGTGAATCAGCAGAAAGAGATACGAAACGTATAATATTGCTCGCAATGCTCATTGTACATTAAAAGGAGAGCCGAGTGGGCGATCCAAAGGCAAGAAATAAAATGCGCCCCTCTTAATCAGTAGCCGCGCGCTCGAGCTAAAGGAACTCGCCCGAAAGTGCAGGAAAAAGCTAGAAAGATAATAATATAAAAGCGCCTAAAATTCCAGCTCTCAAGTGGACAGGACGAAAAAGCTCTCTCTCTCTCTCTCTAGCTTAGAACCCTCTAAGTACTATAATAAACAGTTTCATATAAATTGTAAACGGTGGGTGCAACAAAGGAGATCCTCGTTTGTGCTCGTGTGTATGCGCTCGGTTGTGGAAGGAAGGGAAGATAAAAAAAAAAAAAAAAGAAAGTCCCTGTACACATAGCTCACGAATGCAAGAAAAAAGTTGCCGCCGCCGACGCTTGCATATGTATATATATCGTAGTATAGAGCCGAGCCGAGGAAAGACAAAGTGAGAGAAAAGAAAAGAAAAGAAAGAAAAGACTCCTCGACGTAGCTAGGGGGCCGCCGCCGCCGATCGCTCGCTGCCTTGCGCCATGCACAGCCAACCTCGGACTCTCTTTCTCCTCTTTCTCTCTCTCTCTTATATGCTCTCCTCTCCAGAGTTGAGAACTGCTAATTATGTAAATTGCTGGTGTAGCAAATTACCCTTTGAGTTTGCCTTCATTCTGCACACTATTCTTCGTATAGCTAAAGAGTACAACAAAAAAAAATGAGAGAGAGACGAAGAGAAAACTGCATGTTTAAGGAGCTCGGGCATACACACACTGCGGAATTCATCCGCGCGCATACGTATTATATACTCCCATGCGCCTGTGTGCGAGTGCAGTGTATGTGTGTGTGTGTATGCAGTTAATCGAGCGGCGCTGGGCGACCAGCAAGAAAAAAACCGTCACCTCTTTGATAATTCAATTTTTCCTCGCGGCCTCTCCCGATATAATGCTCAATTTTTCGGGTCGGCTAAAAAAGCAGCTGCGCGTCACCCTACAGTATATGTTCAGCGAATATAATTGAATTAGTCACAGTCGCTATAACGCGTGTTTAATACGCTAAGAATGCGAACCGCAAGTTTACCTCGTGGGTGAACTTCTCGCCTATTAAAGCCACATCAGCGGCAACAGCAGCAGCAGAGAAGAGGAGCGAATCGATCATTTTTAAAGGGCCCCTCGATTAGTTGTACATTTGAAGACTCTCGGCGCCTTTTCTTGTATGTGTTTAGCTATGTTTTCTTTCAAATACACTTGTCAACGCGAGAGTAAAACGATAAACGACCTCTATACACATCTTTCGACATAATAGTAGTTACGAGTTAACGAGGCACAAACGTATTTAAGCTCTATTTCCGAAATTCCACAAATCTTTGCACGTGTATATCACGGTAATAATAATAATAATACCAAAAGCATATAATATAATACAGCTATATATGAGCTGGAAGTTGCAGTCATAATTCGCGGATCCGTACGGTCGGGGGAATTTCGTGGCCACGACTCTTTGGCTAATCGGTCGTGCATATCCCCCAGATCTCTCCGATCGTCGCTCGCTCGAGAGCAGAGCAGAAGTGACTCATGCGCTCCTTATATTTCAGCTAATCAATTCATTCGGAACGAAGATCGTCGATCGCGTTCGCGTATTATTATATATATTGTACGTATTATATACACGGTATCGAGCATCTCGATAAGGTCGTTAGCGGGTAAAGAATTGATTAATGACACGCTCCGATCGCCGCGTGCGTCGAGCTCTGCTCTTGCGCAGTACACCTCTCCGGCTGCTATATAATGTGTATATATGCGGCTGCGTGGCCTGAATTCGCGCGACGTCTATAAGCGAGCTGCACTGCTCTGCACACACATGTACACAAAGTCTGCGTGAGTGCAACTGTCCCGGGCACGCCCCGCGTCGCGGCGTCTCTTTTCGCGCAGCTATATATACATATTATACAGCTCGACGACGTTATATACGTATATATACTATAATAATAAAATATAACGCTCGCGCCAACTAATGTACTCGTCGAGTATGATATCTCGCCGCGACGTAATTAATAATCGTGTAGAGCGATCGAGTCGTCGTCGTCGTCGTCGGCTGAACGAGTAATATATAAGTCATAATAATAATTGAATAATGCATAAATTCGTCGTTATAAGTTTTAGTTCTATACAGCGAATCTCGCGCGCGCAGGATACGTATATAACGACGACGAAAACCTATATTTCGCGCGGCTATGCGAGAAAATCTGAATTTTATCGCTTGTATATAGGCTAGTCGACACGACGCTTGCATTTTATTCAATCGCAGCGTACATTATATACCATATACGAGATCGATCGTTTACGACTTAATTTCAGCAAATTCACGATAACGCTGGCTGGCTGCTGCGGTGGCGGCTTGCGTATTACACATGCGCGATCCGCGCTATATGCCAAGTCTCGGCTCGCGTACATACATATATAATAAGCGCGAGACTTATTTAATCGATATAATTAATAGCCGCCGTGCAGGTTTATTATTGCGTGCCTGGTTAATTGACAATTTAAGATCGCTCTATTAATTAGTTTCCTCGGTTAAGTATATAGCGCGCGAATGTATAGAGCAAAGAACTGTGCAACGATTTATATTATATGCCTCGTGTTATAGGTATTAAAACGCTGCGGCATAGACAGAGAGAGAGAGAGAAAAATGACACGTTTACGTCATTTTTAAAAGTGTGCCTTTTTTTCTCTCGCTCGCTATACATGCTACAAATTGCGCAAAGTATACGTTTCGTCGTGGATAAATACGCGGCCGACGTTCCGATGTATTGCCTGTGTGTGTGTGTGTGATTCCGCGGCTTTGGAAAATTTTTGCTCGTAGCATAGCTGTGGAGATCGGATCGTTGAGTCTCGAGACCGCCATGGTCCAGCTGATGAAAAATAATGATAATTGTTGTAAGAATGTATGATATGGGTAACAATAGGATGCACAAAGACAAGGCTTGAATTTTTCGTATTTGAGATAAGATATTTTATTTTTACTAGAATTATAATTGTCGCTAAAACGTTTTTTTTTTTTCGTCGTCGACCGGGCCTTAAACGACTAAGCCTCGATAGTATATTTTATGTCGAATAACTTCGAGTGAAATCACATTTTTTCGTAATAATAATAATAATAAAAATTATTTACATCGATAATTTTAGTAGTATCTACGGTCTTGAAACGTCTAAAAATTTTTTCCTTTTTTCTTTTTATACACAAGATCGTGGGCTCCTTTGACAGCGTCGCGAGCGGCGCAGTCTCGCCGCCGTCGGCGTGTCACACACATACACGCGCAAACACATACTTTGATACACACAACACACTCGCCACGGGCATACATCGCGCGTTTACGATTATGCACGTATTATGCGTCTAGGTGACTTATTTCGACTCTTTCGTTCTCGACGACGAGGAACAAAAATACATTATAAGTTGAACGTACGTATACACACGCGGCGATCCGATCGCGCTCGCGAGCAATGTTTTCTATCATCGTCGCGGCTAACGAATAATAAATAACGTACCAAGTGATTTAAAGGGGTCCGACCTGATTTTCGCTCGATAATTAATATCGACAGTTTAATTGTTGATAGAAAAAATGGTTCGATTGAAAATTATCATTCTATCATTTAAATACTGATATTGAGCTTTGATCCTCTATAAAAATGAATGCAAAGATGAATGAAAGTAGGGCATGATCGAGCGAATATCAGGACAGACGTTTTTGGAGTCACTCGTCGTCGGGAATTACGTATATAGTAGTTACCGAGTTCACGCACAGACAAACAAACAAACAAACTCACTTCACTCGACACATTCACTCGCGTAATACACTCGCGGAGGCTCGCACGGTCGTCCACTCGGATATTTCTAAATTAATGTATCGGAACATATACATCGTTAATCAGTCGGAGGCAAAATACACGTCGATTTTGTAATCAATATAATAATAAGCATACTATACAAAGATATACATTACACACTTAAGTAACATTTTTCTCTCTCTCTCTCTCGCTCCGCCATCGCGTCGAACGTGTGTGTGCGCGCGTTCGATTTTTCGCTTTAAAAGTAAAAATACTGTTGCCTTAACTTTGTCCTTTTTTCTCCATTCGAAAAAAGTAAGTTTCGTTTCTTCCTGTATACGTTTATACATACAATTTTATTATCGTATTTGTATCATATTACATATGAGAATAATGCTTAATGCTGTACGCGTATAACGATTAGCTTGAGAAAGGGGGTGGTGGGGTGGGGAAACTGGGAGGTGAAAGAGATGCGGGAAGAAGGGTAGGGGGGAGAGACCGATTCCCGCCGAAGATTCATAAATCCAACGACGGAAAAAACTCGTTCCCCGCTATATGTATCGTATAGGGGGATGAGAAGGGGGTTTGAAGTTTGGCACTCGCTCCGGTATACGTAATAGCTATACGTATACTCTTCGCTATATATAGGACTACGCACACTGCGCGCTACGTATGTACCACGACGCGTAATTCGCATTCGCGACTCTATATATTTACAATCGATTGACAACTACGAGACGAGAAAAAAAAATCATCGTCGTCGTCGTTTGTTTATTATTACGCGCGTGCGTGAATTCGGGGCGCAACTCGCGATAAGTACAATCGTCGTCGTGTCCTGCTGTCCTTTCTTTTTTTTTTTCCTTTCGAGGACGAGACACTGCATTTAATCGGCGTCAGTGTTTTCCAGACACTCCGCCGCCGCTCTGCTGCACGCTCTCCGAGACGAGAACGTCGTAGTTTTCTTTTTTGTTTTTTAACGTGTAGGTAGGCCCTTTTAATCGAGGCCGAGAACGTCCAGTTACGCTTCCTCGTCGCTGGTGCAGTCGTCGGCCTCCGGGTCGATGGGCATGTCGTCGTCGTCGTCGTCCTCGTGATAATCGCTCGTCTCCTTTTGCCACTTGCTCACGTGATGCGTGTTCTTGGTGGCGTTGTTGTTGCCGCCGGGACCGCCGCCGCTGCCACCGCTACCGTTGCCACCGCCGCCGCTCGACTGGGTCTTGGCCTCCTCCTCCTGCTGCAGTCGCTTGTGCTTCGTGCGCCGATTTTGGAACCATACTTTGACCTGGAACAGGAGACAAATACACGGAGGATGTTTAGTATATACGTTACGTTGGAAGTGTATAGCGTGTAATTAATCGTTATTAAATCAAAGTCGGTCGCGCTATGATAATTGCAGATATATAACAGCGGCAGCGTCGGCCTTAGCGGCTAACGGTTTCGCCGAGATGAGAGAGACGAGAAAAGGAGCTCGATCGATTGACTGTGCTTTATGTATATATAAGTATAAACTAAGCTAAGCCAAAGCCGAGCAGAGAGAGAGAGAGAAGAACCCTCGGATCGTGCACGCACGCGCCGCCACCGCAATTTCCCGTCGTCTTCTCTTTCTCTCTCCGGTTTCCTATGTAGCAGTAGCGCAGTATTAAAAGCTCGCCCCCCTCCCCCTCCTGCTGCAAGTTATATTGTACTCTCACCGCGATAGAGAGAGAGAGAGCCTCGAGAGCAAATTAAGTGGCAACTAGCTACTCGATATATATATACCATGCCGCATGGCGGAAACGTGTCGTCTGTCCCTTATATACTATTTTGCCTCGTGCTCTTTATATCGCGCATAGGGAGTCTTAGTCATTCGCTCGGAGTTTTATTTCGCCGCCGCCGTCGAAACGATCGGAAGGAGAGAAAGAGCTAAAAGCGAGCCAAACTGTGCGCGCAATGTTATATATACGGTATATAAAATAAGTGGGAATGCAAAAAGACCAAAGCTCTCTGCGGTGGAGAGCATATCTCGATTTCATCGGACTCTAAGCCGGCCTCGGATCCATATACCATTATAATAATAATAATAATAATAATATAATGTAAGCACGAAGCGCATTGTTGGACGAATCTGAATTGCGCGACAATGACTTTGTCGTTGAGTAGTGCTGCGATATGCTGCCGGCTGACGAAACTCGAGTATAATATACAAGTGTGAATTATCGTAAGCCTATGTTATAATATATATTATAAAAATAATTTCTTCCTCTTTTTTTTGGCAGGCGAAAAGTCGAAAACGCCAAGACGATGACAAGGAGCAATATATAGACGCGACAAGAAGGACGTATCCATCCGAAACCGAGCCCCCGAGTACGTACACGATATAAATTTCACGTATACATAATAACGAAAAAAAAAGAAACAGAACAGAATGGACGCACGTATAAAATGCAACAGCAGCAGCAGCTGAGCTGCCAGAGAGACGTCCATCTTATATGTACCATACGGGGCAGTCTTTTTTTTGTACCAGGGCTAATTAGCATAATCGCATTATATAGCACGAGGAATATATAACGCTTACACACACACGTCTCTCGATCGTGCCTCTGCGCGCGTTTATACGCGCGTTATAAATTCGCATGATCGATCCGCGTTTCAAGCGTACATAATAATATAATAATACGCGAAGAGGAAAGGGCCTATATATACGTGCGATAACCCCCCGGTCTAGTAGTAGTAGTAGTAGTGGTATAAATCCAACCCCAGGGTCGGTGTGCGTCGGTCACGGTGTGGTTCGGCTCGTCTCGGTCGCCGCCGCTTATAACGAATATTAAATCGCTGACAAATATTATCGTATCATGGCAGGCAATCCTCGCAGCAGCGGTAGCAGCAGCATCCCCCTTTTGTATAAGAGATAGAGATAGATGGAGAGATAGAGAGAGGGGGATAGAGCCAATCAGAGCACATCGTGTGCAGCACCAGCAGCAGCAGCAGGCACGAGTACTGTACATATAACGTTATAACGAGCCAGGCACTTAGCGAGCGATTAGTCGAACAAATAGAAGCGTCGAGGCTTCCATCATCTATCTACTATACTACGCTGGTTATTATTATATAAACTACTGCTGCTGCTATGCCGGTATTATATACCCCGACGACGATACACCCCAGCGACTAAAATACACATTCTCTCCGGCTCGTTTAATCGAGTTTACACACTGCTGCTGCTGCCGCTGCTATATAGCTTTGGCCCATTTGGTAATCGTATTCCCAAGGGGGAGGTTGAAGAATTGCTTGCGCCCCTCTGCATCGAGAGAGAGAGAGAGAGAGTGAGGGGGGGGGGAATCTCGCCTCGGCGGGTTGCCCTTAGCAACCGGGGGGATGCTGCCACGCACTTTATATATACCAACCAACCCCGCCGAGAGTCCGCAGATTGGTGGATTCTGCGCGCGGGGCGCGTATATATACACACACACACACATACACCTAACCCGAGTGTTACCCTATATGTGTATAATGTGCACAAGCGCAGCCTCTCTCTTACTCTTTTGACACACCCCAAGGGGCTTGTAGATATATTTGTAACGCGCGTATACATAGCGACGATTTGCCAACTACTCTCTCTCTCTCTCTCTCTCTCTTCTTTTTATAAAATGTAAGACTGTGCGGGGTTATACGTAGAGAGAGCAGCGCGACCATGACGAATGCGTTATACGAGCTTGTCGCGAGCAAATAACACAGACGGATATTCACTCGATAAAGACTTAATTTGCATGCAGCTCCTAAATTTATTATATTATATACATTATAAACAACGTATTTAGTAACGGACGCGCATTTTCGCCGGAGCTATCTCGGCTCCGAGATACACGCACATAATTGCCCGGATAAACGATGCCCCGTAAACGCGTCCCCCGTAAAACTTGCAGCTCGTATTCCTTAGCCGTGTCTCTCTCGCGCGTACCTTCTTTTTTTTCTGGCTGCTTCTTCATCTATATACACTAACACACTCGTCTCGATATATATTTCGAGTCTCTCTCTCTCTCTCTCTCTCTTATGTGTGAGTACAAAAAACGATTCGCACGGCCATATAGTCTCTCTTTCTCTCGTGCTGCTGCGTGCCTGTGTTTGTGTTTACAAGCGAGCGGAGGAGCGCTGTATTAATTATAATGAGCTATTATGCTAATTACAACGAACAACTTGGCGTAACACGTGTAACTTCTTCTCTCTGCCAGAAAAAAAAACGAGAGGACGTTTTTTTATTATTATTATCATTATATACACACAGAGCGGAGGCTGGCGCGTAAAGCACAGCGGATCGAGACGTCGTAACAATGCTGCTGCGTATATAGCCCACGTCGACGCTCGGTACCCAACGGATCTCTGTATACCCACCTCTGTACTATATAAACCAGTTAAAAAAGTTTAACAAAACCGCAACGGCAATACAGATTCGATGCGTATAAAAGCTATCATCATCATCATCATCATCATAATCATTCTCGTCGACGTCGTCATTGGACGTAATTGAATGGCTCTTGGCATACTACTACTACTACCACTGCCACTACCACTATACTGTATACTCGCCGAGTAAAAATCTACACTGCAGTCGAGAGTAAATGTAATAACGTCCATTTGGAGCCCGAGCTTTGCCCGCGCGCGATGATATTCCCAGGGACTAATCAGACCTCGTCGCTGCACCAATTGCACCGCCTTTCACCGTCTTTATTGCATTGGCCTTCTCTCTCTCTCTCTCTCTCTCTCTATCTTTACTTTTTTTTCCTTCCGCTTGTTACTTTTCTTTTTTTTTTACACGAACGTTGAATAAAAAAAGGCGCAAACTACATCGAAAGGCGCGAGTGGGCTCCGCGAGTTAAAACACGCGTCGTTGCATTGTGTTTGACAAAGCGAAACAAGCTGCGACTTATATAGCTGCGATTAGTGTATAGTCGAACTCTCTCGGGGGGAAATAGAGAGAGGGAGAAAGAGCGAGTGCCGGAGACGTCGTAAAATCGGTCGTTTTCCAACCTACACGGGCGTGCCAACTCGCGCGACGCTCACCTAAGGCTCGATTAAATTTGCCTGCGCGACGCGTCGTCGTATTATAATATAAAATGCTGCTGCCTGTACGAGTCTCGATTAAATACGACTCGCCGAGCTGTGTGTCTGTGTGTCTGTGTGCAGAGAGCAATCGTCGCGATAGCGATCTTGTAATAGCGAATCGCGACTATACGAGGGAAAATAATAAAGTCTTTAGCTCGTTTCGCACCAATTTTTTGTTCAGATTCGCAAGCGAACTAATTGCTGCGAGCAAAGCTCGAATTGTCCATCCGACGCTGCAACCGTCAATTTTATCATTATAAACCGATGACGTAAAGATGTCACGCGCAGCTTGTTAATAAGATTTGTCGAAGCGATCGTTTAATTAAAGAAGATAAAAAAAAAGCAAGACCAGTCGACGTAATTAAAAAAAAAAAAAAAAAAACTACCGTGTGAACAAATCAGTCGCATAATATTAATACGCGTTAAATATATTTTCAGTGTAACATACTAATCGATCGATTTATGCAAATGATTACAAGGATTTCGAATCACGCATATACGCGAGCATATACGGGCCTCATTATAAATATATATCCGATCTGTATACGCGCCACCACGCACATTATACATGCAGCCGCGCACGAGAGGCGAAATTTATGGACTCGAACTCGTTTCCTCGCGCACAGACTGCCTATCCTATATATCGAGTGTCCGTGTATAGGCCATAATATAATATTCATATGTATATTTATGATACTCGAAAAAAAAGTTTTCCCAGCTAATTTAATAATTTAAATAAGGAATTAGGCGAGTTAGCGTATTAAAAAGTGATTATAATTATGATACGGTTTATAAGGTCGCGCTTTCTCGTTCGCTGCCGTATCGTAGCTGTCATATATGTAATATAATCGCGCGCTGACACGTACCGTTCGCGTGTGTGTATGTATGTGTATGTGTATATACAATACAATTAGTCGACTATTTACACGGCAGCTTGGAGAGCTCCTACATATATAATACAAGGAGGATCACGAGCTGCGAGCGCATCGACGACGATATTACAGAGGCCTGAAAAAACACGGACGAGATGCCGTGAAATTTATACTCGAGCAAACAGATCGAGGCGTTATTTCAACGCACCCGAGCGACAAATATTATTACATATATATATCTCGCGATAATCCGCTGGTCGCGCGCGCGGGTCACGCTTGCGATCATCCTACCCTTCTCTTCCTTTTTTTTTTTTTTTCATTTCCATTTCAC